CTTTCCCCTTGGGCACTTCTCAGTCACCAACAGCTGCAGTATAAAATTATGGAACCTGCTGCCTTTTATGCTTTCCTGATCAACTTCAACTTCTTTATCCCCTAGTCATTTCCTCACAGTTTGCACTATGGAAAAAGGGGGTGGGGGTGAGGGGAGAGATTTAAGGAACTTAAAATTGACAAATGGCCAGAGCTATAAATTCCTAAATTTTGAGCTTCCAATGCCAAAAGACAGAGAGACAAATGTCTGCCTTGTTGATGACATGGGTCTTCAGATATACCAACAAAGCTGAAAGGCCAAGCACATCTAAATATTCCAATGGCATCTAGAACAGTTTTAAGCCTGAACTAAGTTACTTCTCAAACTTGCAAAAACAACACATGTCAAAAATGAGGCCAATTTTGGTCTTAAAAAAAATAAATAAGGTAAGCCTTCTTTAAAGGATAATAATTTACTTTTCCCATACTCTTTTTTAGCCTATTTTTCTGACACAGCTAATGATCTCAAATGCATAAATTCACAGAAAGCACAAATATGAGGTAATGACTTCATTAATTTAATCACATTTATAGAGCATCTTTCATCAAACATTGTGTGAAAGTGGGGATTATATAATAGGGAACATAGAAATAAGTTCACAGTATTATGTTTTTATAACTAATATAAATATGTAACAACTACAGAGGCAATATAGAGGAGGGAATGTTGGGGAGGAGTTAAGTGTAAGTGAGAAGGTCTTTTGGGGGAAAATGATGGATTTACAAAAGTTTTGTGAGGGAAAGGATTATTCTAAGCAGGGTAGTAAGTATATTGTGTTTAAAAAATTTAATTCAGGATCATAAAGTTTTAAGTAAGAAAGCAGAGGGAAATGAAGCTGAAGCAGGAGAGCTGTCATTTAGCTGATATTTACTTAGATCAATTGAATTTTAAGCATATGTTTACATTATGTATACACCACAAATATGAGTTGACTTAATATTACATAACTTTCTAATGCTTATATTTATTTCTAGAACGTTTTCCAATTATACCTACGTAAGATGTTATAGGGGTGAATATATATTTATTTACACATACCTTCAGCATAACTCACCACTAGGTACACTTCTTATGAGGCACAGATACAGCCACAAAAATTTGTTTTTTATTTATGGAAAAATTGTTCAAACCTAGATTACACCATACCAAGTTTATCATAAGTGACCTAATTCTAGTTAACCTAACTCCAAAATCTAATATAATCGCAATTTACTATTAGAAAGCCTAATACTAGGCCGGGCGTGGTGGCTCACGCCTGTAATCCTAGCTCTCTGGGAGGCTGAGGTGGGCGGATTGTTTGAGCTCAGGAGTTCGAGACCAGCCTGAGCAAGAGCGAGACCCCATCTCTACTAAAAATAGAAAGAAATTAATCGGACAACTAAAAATATATAGAAAAAATTAGCCGGGCATGGTGGCACATGCCTGTAGTCCCAGCTACTCGGGAGGCTGAGGCAGGAGGATCGCTTGAGCCCAGGAGTTTGAGGTTGCTGTGAGCAAGGATGATGCCATGGCACTCTAGCCCGGGCAGCAGAGTGAGACTCTGTCTCAAAAAAAAAAAAAAAGAAAGACTAATACTGACATGGTAAGTGTTTCTGGCTAATGTGAGCCTAATAAGCAAAATGCTTACATTTCAGCCATTTCACTCCTCTATGTGCTTTGGATAAATTGGCAAAAGGACAGGGAGTGCTATATACACTTAACAGCGAAGGATGAAGACCCCTAAGAATGACATATTACGCCTTTAAATGTTTAAGACTCTATTAAAAAGGAGAATTCAACACGTATAATGAGGTATGGTTGCATCCACTGGAAACATCTGACTGAAGTACTAAACAATTTCTGTGAAATGAAAAATTACTTACAAAAAAATGTGTGGCTATTTTTTCTATTATTTATGACACAAAGCATTTTGCTCTAGAGTACATTTATTATCTTTCAAAAAGATTTTTAAACATGAATTTGAAACAGTCTAAGACAAATGTTTTAGCCTTTTCTAACTCCTTTCTTCCTCATTTGGTTTGGCATTAAGACAAAGCCTTGCACACAATAGATCCTCCACTAATTATTTATTAAATATATACTCACAGTCAACCTCTAGGAGTTATCTATTTCTACCCAGAACTCTAATGTCAAATCACAGAGCATGTACTAGGGGATTTCAGAACGAGGCCTCTAAAGGCCTTACTGGATTTTACCACAATGGCTACCTAGAAAAGGTTAATGGTTTCCCAAGAAACTGGTGATTTTCACCTTTTTTAAAGGTTGAAATCAGGCGAAAAAGAAATAAAGCATGTTAAGAACAGTTTCTATTGTAATTAGATCCCTATGAATCTTAGCTGAAAAAAGAGAGGAGAAAAAGGGAAAAAATATAGGTAAGGCCCAAACAAAATCCACATTACAGGGCAGTTTTAAACTATGCTATGGCCTTAATGGCTTTTGCCATAATATATCTCTTTTGTTTCTTCATAATATATGATTATAAATAATAAATTTCCATTTCAAAACATTAGTTCATATATTAAAAATGAAACATAAATTATCATATTAAAAGCTACACTCCAAAGAAGTTCACTTTGTGGTTTAGCTAATGCACAAGCAAACAATGTCAGCTCTAGCAAAATTGATTACCAGATGAACACACCACTTTCTAATGCAAAATAGTTATTTAAAGTAAAACACCCCTAAGATTTTGTCTTCATGAAGAGTTAACATCTCATACCAAATTATTATATGCTAAAACATACTATTCTTGCCCTACCAAAACTAATATATTACAAAGCTGCTAGGGAATAACATTAATAAAGCAGGGTAAATTTGTGAAAACACAATTTTAGAAGTCTGGATCAGTGAAGTAATTTCCAAGTTGTCACATACTAAGTACATTTAGAATTTAAAAACATAAAAAAGCAATCCTCCCAGTCAAGATTGCCATTCGGTGTTTCAAATATCAATATCTTGGGGATTAAACCACTGGGAATATCTTCTCATTTTAGTGTAATAGCAGTATCATTCACTGGTATCACTACACACATACACACACACAAACCCTGCTCTCTCAATTTATCCATAGCAAAAACAAAGAAAGGCCAATTTAGAAACAATATATATTACATTTGTGTCAATTCACATTCCATCATCTGCTTTCTTCTATCAGCTGCAGCTACAAGGAGATATTCACTACTTAAAAAGAAAATTAGGCTGGTCTTTTCCCATCTCTAAAACAAAACTTAACATTTTTGATCCAAGCTACTTGGTTGAAAGATACCAATAAAAGTTACCATCATCCCGTTTAGCATTTTTAGCAGTTTTTCTCCTAACCAACCATTATCTGAGTTACTTCTTGATTTCCCTCAAAGTAGGTCTAATCTGCGGAAAGCAGCGAGACATTGTACTGCACTGTGAATGGACAGCCAGGTATTTTATGAATGGAGGCGATCACGTGATCCCAGCACCTCCCCGAACTGATATTTCCCACATAACTGTGTCAACATTCAGAGAACAGGGGTAGTTGTTTGTGTGTGCGTTATGTTTTTAAATTTAACCTAAAATTTCAAATTCTCCTTACTTTCTGAACTCAAAAATCTACATGAAGACAAACAAGCTTCGAATTTTTTCTTAGGAAATCCTTTCAAGATGTCCAAGGTGATGGATGTTTAATTATTTTTTTATGAATGAAGAGTGTGCTATGCAAATGAGGACGATTCACAAAAAGGGAGAGAACATGGCGGCCACTTCTGTTTCTAGACTGCACTGACACTGCAGCAATCTACCTCCTTCTACACCCGCTCATCGGAAGCGGGTGCTTTGGGGGGGGCTTGGGGGAGAGGAAACGTTGCTTCGCCTTTCTCAAGCTATTTTATGTTAAACAGGCCTTCGCTTTAGACTTTTAAAGTTCTCTCAAAAAGGTCAGACTTGAGGAATGCACTTTATTTAAAGGAATGCATCCTAAGGACTGGTCCTAACTCATTTAACTCTTTCCAATCCTCCAAAGAGAAACAAAACTTGAACTTAATTACAAGAAAACGGATGCGAACATTCTGCATGAATTATATCCCTTCTCAACAGAAAACTGTTTCCACACAATTATTCCTCCAGGCAGCTGTTACGTGAAAGCAAAATATTTCAAAGGCAAAGTATTGATTTGGAAAACATAAGGACAGCCCGAATAAACAGATACTTAAACCGGAATGCTCTAGAACTTGATGAAGCCACTAACATGTTCAGCAATGTAAATTCGATTAAATTAACGTAAATGGTGTGTTTTAATATAGCCAAATGGTAAAAATTAGCATTTAAAATACTTCTATGTTTCTGAGGAACACACGTCCGATATTCGCGAAGGTAAACACTAGCTCAGTATCTCCCACACTCCAGGTGTCCGTAATCCTATTAAATTCTAAAAATGTTTCCCTAACTCTATTTTTTACAAGAATCTTATAGGTCATAAGTTTAAAAGGAGGAGGGGAGAGGGTGAAGGCTTAATCGGTATTTAAGAGTCACTGACTCACCGAATTAAGATTCAAGGGCAGTTTGCTGCAGGAGGTGCTCCCACACATGAGTTTCCAAGTTAAACAGCTATAAAGAGAGCAGTATGGATATTCAAGGTGTGCTAGTTGGTAGGCTAGCGAAAAAGGACGGGCCGGGGTCTTCCAGGCAAAGGGGTACTTCCTACTCCACTTCCATCCATCCACATTACTCCATCTTCTGGACATGCAATTGCCACCCCAACCCAACACTTAATACCCTTCTTAACAGAAAGCAACTCAATGCGGGGAGGGTGTGGAGAGGTGCCGCCACTAAAAATGGCTAAAGAAAATCAGTTATCTCCAGAACGAGATGCACCGAACTCTGCAGGGTTGCAAGCTTTCCGGCACCCAGGGGGCCCCTCGGAGGGCTCCAGGGGAGTGCCGAGAAAGGACTGGGGGAGAGGGGTTAATAAAGAAGATCAATGAGGCGCTTACTCGTTGTCAGAAGTCGCCGTCTCCTCGCTCATCTTTCCCTCACCGTGATCCGATCTGGAGATGGAGGAGCAACAGCAGGCGGGGGAGCAACAGCAGCAGCACCGAGGGGCAGGAGGCAACGGCGGCCGGGGGGGCGCGGGGGCAGCGGCTCAGGGGCCTCACCATGGTGGATGCCTCACCCTGAACGGTGCCCCCCCAGCCGGGAACCCCGGCCACCCCCGCAGGGGGGTGGCGGCAGCAACCTCCGCCGTGGCGACCCCAGCCTCTTCCCCCACCGCAGCGCCCAGCCGAGGGATCCGAGGCGGCCGGGTGGGAAGAGAAAAAGAAGAGGGCTGCAAAAGGTGACTGGAAAGCTGCTCCTCTGGCCACTGGGGTGGAGCGCGGCGGGGTCCAGCCAGGAAGGAGCGGGCGGGCGGAGAACCCGGGAGCAGAGGCGGCGCTTCCCTCAGGGATGCGGCGAGGAGGAAGCAGAGCTGCGCTCGGTGGGGGTCGGCGGGGGGGTGCCGAGCCCAGGCTCCGGGCAGCGGCGGCGCGGTCCTGCCGGAGCCCACACCACCATCTCCCGCCTCGCCGCCGGCTGCCTGCTCAACCCCCAGCGGCGCCTGGGTCGGTCCTCAGGACCAGCAGAATCGGGCGAGGGGCCCCACGGCGGCAGATTCCTCTAGACACGCTCCCGCCGGGACGACTCCTGAAGGGGGAGGAGGGGGCGGCGGGGAGCGTGTGAGGCGAGGGAACGGCGAGCCGATAGCTCCCACCCGGGCCGGTGAAGAGCGGGCAGGCCCGTGGGAGGCACGGTTCCGAGAAGCGGCGGGAGAGGAGGAGAGCGGCCGTAGGTCCCTCGCCAGCCCGTGCCCACCAGCAGCTCGGCGGGCCAGCTCCTCACGCCCGAGAGAGGAGAACAGCGAGGGGGGCGGCGGAAGCGCTCACGCCGCCCGCTCCTTCCGCCGCCGCCGCTGCCCGAACCGGGGGCGCCCGCGAGAGGAGGCGAAGTAGTCCCTCCCGACTTCTCCCGGCCGCTCGCTTTCCCCCGAGGCCAGAGCAGGCGCGGGGTGGGGCAGCCGAGCGGGGTGCCCGGCCTGTGAGGGTGTGTGGGTAGGACTAAAACCTGCGGCCTCCGGGCGAATCACTGCTACTCGAAGTCGTGTGCAGCATAGCAAGTTTCGGGAAAGTAGTTCCCTCCTCCCTTCATTTCCCAAATCGTTGTCGAGCCACTTCAGCGGGGAAAGGAGGAGGGAGGCGGAGGGATATTCCACTGCAACGAGCTCTGTGTGCGTGCGCGCGCTCCAAACTCTTGGCACGCTGCAAAAGGGGGCGGAGGTGGGAGCTGCCAGGGGCGCTGCTTGGGAGGTTGCATTGTTGTAGCGCTTTACTCCCCGTTACTCGGCTTGGAATCTCTGGGTAGCTCGAACGAAGAAGCTAGAAAGACAGTGTGCTCAGAGGGGAAATCTGAAGGCTACTGTGTTCTGCCGTGTGTGTGTGTGTGTGTGTGTGTGTGTTTTCCTTGCAGAGCAAAGAATGGAACTGGCACGAGTTCATCTTTAGTTGGTGGGGGTTAGAGGCAGGGACTGTGCAAAGAGAGCTCCGCCTGCTGTCCCTCTGGTTGCATTGCTGCAGTACCCTAGCTGCATGCACGACGGGAGTGTGTATGTGTGCGTGTGTGTGTGTGCGCGCGCGCGAGAGACAGAGAGAGAGTTTTAATACCTCGCTGCCTAGATTCTTACTGCGCAAGGGGTAAGCTGTGCCGAGCATTCATCTCAGAAAGCTGGAGTGATTGTTAATGGAGAACGACTTCCATTGAAGCCCGTGGTAGGCGTGTTACATGAATCTGGCGCAGCCAAAAGCAGAGGAAATAACTCCCGCTGCGAGTGAGGTTGCATAACTATAGCGCAGGAGATGTCTCTGTGGCAAGAACTGCTCCGAACGGAGGCGGACCGATTATTGGATCGACAGCTGTCACGTTTGCATTGTTAGAGGACAATGTATGCATTCACCTCAAAAGATTTTTGCACCAAAACCTGCTGGGGTTGCTGGCTGGAGCTTAGGATCGGCCCGACCTGAGGTCTCAGAGCTCCCGGCTTTGCAAATTTTATTATCTCTTCTCTACCTAGAAAGCCAGCCTATACGCGATCTGGCCTGTGGGACTGAATCCCAAGCGCTCCCAAGTTCCTGACGCATCTCCCCAGGTATCAGTCTAGCATTGCGCGCAATGCTCTTCTTTTCATTCTCACACCTGAGAATGAAGGTTGCTGCTCGTGCCACAGTGAGAACAATTCTTGAGGAAGAAGAAAGTGGGAGGAACTCCCAAAAAAGCCAGCTCTCCTCTTTGGCCATCCCTCTCCAGGCAGCTTCAGGATTGCTGTTCTGGGAATGAGTGTGTGCACTAGCTTGTTAACATAGTTAACATAACTGTTTTGCACATAGTAGGTGCTTAATAAATGTTTGATGAATCAACGAAGGAGCTAAACCAGGGAGTGTGCCCAAAAAGCCATTCCGTTGATGTTTGAGGTTTCTTTATGTAACTTACTTCTTGCTTCAGTAGCAGCATTGTCCTTACTTAGAGCAGGAAGGGGCAATGTTGGTGATGGAAAACAGTGAGGGGTCTGTGATAGTCAGGCCTGACCTCTAAACCTGTGTTTTTGAACTTGTTCTTGTGCAGAACCTGTAAGTGGGAGTGTTGGTACTGGCCTTTTCTCCTTGCAGTACTACTGCTGCTAACCACTTTGGCTGCTCAGATTTGAATCAAGTCCCATCAGTTATAATCTGTGTTCTTAGGCAAGTTACTGAAACTCTGTGCCTGCATGAAATGGGGATAATAGTACCTACCTCACAGAGCTGTTGTACTGATTAAGGAGGTAATAATATACATAAAGTACTTAGATTAAGAATTCACAGTGAGAGCTCAGTAAGTTTGAGCTCTTATTATTATTTTGTAAACATAATAACTCAAGGCTATCTGGTGGCAGTTGCTCTGAAGGTTAAATGTAAAGCATTCAGTGTTCTTGTTCAACAAATAACTATCCGTTATCTTCTGTGTACCACCCTTGCTACACACATGGCCTGGTCCTTAGTAAGTAATTAATAAAAGATAATTATCACAGTCATTATGATCAAGTACAAGGTAAGTTGGTCCCTTGCAAAGTCCTCTTTCTCTTTTGAAAATGAGCATCTTTTTGAGGTTCTAGTGCATCAGGAGATTGTCAATACAGGCTTCGGGAAAAGATGTGAAAACCATCTTGGTTGTCATGTACCAGGCAGTGTGCTGACCACTTTCACCAACATTGCTTACCTAAAGGAGCAAGATGTGATCGACCGCTCAATGCTTTTCAAATTGTTCTTAACCTCATGACCAAGACACAATCACCAAACCATTCATTGCCTTAGGTGGTTCCATGCCACTTTTATGACAGGATCTGCCGTTTTTTTTAAGAATGTATTTGTGGTTCTCTCCTCTCACCCAGTTTTTGGAGATCTTACCAACTTTTTAAAAAAAAAATGCCTTGGTCTGAGCTGAGCTCTGAGTCTTCTACTCTGAAACAGTCATAAATGGTACTACAATGGGGCACAGAAAGTCTCAGACTCTGACTTTAAATTAGCAGGTGCCCTAAACTCAAGAGGCCTCACCTGGTCTATCCTGGTATCTGGATCTTAAGAGGTACAAGTGACATAGCAACCCAACACAATTTCTGAGACCTTATTCGGATCCTGATTTGAACAAATATTTTAAAATTTGGGACAATTGAGGCAATTTGAACACTCACTGGAGATTTGATGAGAACAAGGATTTTTTTTAAAGTATTGGTTTGTGTTTTTTTTTTTTAATCCTTACCCTTTAGAGATACACACTGAAATATTTACAGATGAAATTATATGATTTCAAAAGAGATTTGCTTCAAAAGAATCCAGTAGGGTGAGGAATAGGAAGAAGTAAATAGGGATAGGGATGAAACAAGGTTGGTTGTAGATTGATGGTGAGCACTCTTTACTATTTTATATATTTTAAATTTCCCATAATAAGTGTTTTTTTAATAGACTGCAAATCCTTCTTTAAAATACAGATTCCTATACCCCAGCCCAGAAATGGTGATCAGTAGGTTTCTAATGGGGCCAACAAGTCTACTTTTTCAGAAGTATGCTAGATACTTGGCTGTTGTGGTCCTTCACTGTTTTCTTCTTTCCTCACAACTACTCTTGTCATCCTCTCTCCCAATACATCCGTAATTGAAACTAGCCAAATACAAAAAAGGGTAGACCAAAATACATCATAGGCTTAGGTAGATATTGTTCAAGGCCAGAGGGATAATGTCAGCTAGGGAAGGTGGATCCAGCCAGACTTGAAAATCTACGTGAAAAGCTAAATACAGACCATAGTGCCACCTTGAATTCCAACTCCATTTAGTTAGTACTAATCAAGAAGGATTCTATGGCTATGTCAGGGCTCAGCAATTTGCTTGTTTGTGTTTACTTAGGTGGTGGACCTATGGGAAGGAAGCTGGTCACAATAGCTGGTTCTCACAGGTTGCTCTCTGTCCTATTGTCCTCAGCTTTAGGAATTAGCCACAGCCACTTAATGACCTGTTTGAGGTGATTAATTATCAATAGCATCTGTGGGCTAAAAAGGGAGGAGCAACAGCACAATTGCTGACTATTTGCTGGTATAAGATATCATCTAAGTTAAGAAGATACAAGTGGATTCTGAATTCAGACCAGGGTTCACAAGGACAGCAAAAGGTGGACTATCTTCACTGTCCTCACCAAGACACTGGCAAATGGCATATATTTTTGCAAATCAAAGCATCTTCCCTTTTTCCAAACTACTCTGCCCATTAGTAATCACCTTTCTTGTGAACTCAGAATTGGTCTTCTCAGATTCTTTTATTTTTGACTTTGCAGTTTGCCCTTGTGTTGATAATTGTCTTTTTTTTTTAACTTTTTATAAATTTACATTTGTTTTCCCCAATTAAATTTTAAGTGACTTGAAGGTAGAGGCTGCACTTTATATCTTTTGGTGTTCTCTTTAGCAGTGGTTTTAAGTAATAAATGCTTTTAAGGTGAAATATTATGCCAAAGCCTTGTCTATTATATAAAAATGAAGCTGTATTGATTGATACTGCCATGGAAATCAAGAGTCCCCTCTGGCTTCTTATTATGACGTAAATACTACTGCAGTTCAGAATTTCATATACACTGTCCTTTATATTGTAAGCTCTCAGCAGATATTTATACACTTGAAAAGCCAAAAGAGGAAACAGCCATGCCAACATTTGAGGTTCTAATAGCACATAAAATACAAGTGCACATTTCCATTTTTAAAATTACCCTTAACATTAGTCCTTAGCAGATGTTATTAAAATTTTGTATTTTAAAACTATTGTTAAATGCGCCTAGATCAACAGGAACTCTCTGTTTTCATGGTGTACCTGTTTAATGATTTTTTTTTTTGGGTTTGGGTTTTTGTTTGTTTGTTTGTTTTTTAGTGTAACCAGTCTCTTGGCTAATGAATTCTGCCTCTCAGTAGAATTACTAAATGGTAACCATGTTTCTAAATAGTTTCCTCCCCTCTGGCAGGAATCTGTTTCTCCATCACTAGAGTTTCCATGTTCTTCCAAACTAATACAAAGTATAAAGGATAAGTATGCTGTTTTCTTTTTCTCCCTAAGGACTGCAATTGTTGGTCTGGTAGTATCCGGTGAGTGTGAAATCCGTTTACTTTTAATGCTATAACTGCCTTTTACAGGAAGTTGCCACAAGATTAGGACAAGTACAAGGGAAATGAGCAGTCTGCTATTTCCTTTATTTTCTATGTAATCTTAGCAGGGAGGATGCTTACCAGACCCCACGCTACTAAATAAAGCTCTCTTCTTTACCGTCATTCTCCAAAATGGCTTTGGCATG